AAAAATTTTGATATTTTTTTACAGTTAATAACTTTAGAAAATTTGAGAAAATGTTTCTCTCTCTCTCTCTCTCTCTCTCTCTCTCTCTCTCTCTCTCTCTCTCTCTCTCTCTCTCTCTCTATATATATATATATATATATATATATATATATATATATATATATATACTGATTCGGTACTTTTCTCGCCGCTGCCTTCTCATCTTATATATATATATATAAGAAATTTACAACGTTTAAAAAATCAATTAATCACTGTCTCCAGAGCTATTGAAATAGCTTGTAATCACCCATATGTACGACATGCGGCCAGCTTCAAATAAATGACTATGGCCACGCGATTTGGATGCTGTGGCTGTAGAGTGAGCTGATTGTTTTCTTAAAAAATATTGTTCGTCTAGTAGCGTGGTATTCGTTATTTCGCACTCTACGATGTCAATCTAGATGTACGGTTGAAAAGCGTACGAGCTGCTGTAGATTACGGCACTTTTGGCTCGGATGCGTATATGTAGTTAATTGCTTTTTCAGGTCATTAGCTATTAGCGCCACTGTCGATGTGTTTCTATTGGGCGCGCTCGCATTCGCGGCAATTACAGACCAGTGGGCTAGTAACGAGCACGAGCTTATACTGCACACGCATTTGACAGGTTCGGTGAATGGCTGCACGGACGATACGACTGCGCTACATGCACACAGGCGCAGAGCAAATTAGGCGGCTCGCTGTCGTCATCCTCGCTGTGTCGGGCTTTATTTGCAGAGCTGATTTTCGCTTAGCTCGCTAATGGCTTTGTTATTTATTTATTGGCATATCCGTGTGTTTCGTCGGTCCGCTCACGGTTATCGATTCGGCGCGGGACGCCCCGTCGACTGCAGCACGCTTTTGTTGCATGCTCATTCGGGCGCACTGCCCATTGACGCTCGTAAAACGCGGCTCGCAGACAATTTGCACAGATATATATGGGGCCGTTACATAGGCGTCGAGCCGACGTTAACTGCAGCGCGACACTGAACGGCAACAGGCACGCTCTCCCATCCGATTTGCATGCTAATCCCCCCGCGCGGCATATCTAGATAATAACTGCTAAATATACGGGATGCGGGGCGTCGACTCGCGGCCGAATACGTGCCTTGTCACCGGGCGCCTCTCCGCCTACTCCGCAGTCGTTTTATCGCTCGCTCTGGCGTTATTTGGCGTCTAACTTATTTGGCTGATGATAGGCAATTAAACTGTTGCCCTGCACACTCTAGCACCAGCCTGCAACTCCTTTTCCATTTGGATTTACGCGTGGCATTCATCACTCGCTAGCTTTCACTTTTGTTCGATCGGCCGACTGATTCGGTACTTTTCTCGCCGCTGCCTTCTCATCTTATTTTGCTCCATTGACCGGCGCGCATTAATGCCTACTCGACGGCTCTCAGATTCACCTTTAGGGCGCGCTGCTAGCTGCCACCGCCGCCACCGCCGCCGCCGCCGTAGCCGCACGCCAGTCTACCTCGAAAACCTGATCGCGCGTCGACGCCGTCGACTGCTCGTCGCTCGAAAATTATACGCAACTTTTAAACAGTCAATGCTTGCTTATCGCATTGTCATAAATTCTGTTTGACTGTGCACCTCTCAAGCTGTTTCGTAAGCGACTGGGCTAATATCATCGTAGTCAGCAATAAAAATCTAATTAAAGTGAACTTGACGATGTCTTTCCCTTCTCCTACTCGCGCGAGCATTAGTTATCGGCCCGATTGAAATGCAGTCGTGGCGGGCACTGCCCGGCTACTGACATTATTTGCTTTTCCGAAGCAGCTAACAGATAAGTCCACAGAATGTGGCCATATTTTCATAGATCCACATGGCTAATGTCCTCAAACTGTATGTGCGTTGCGAATTGTGACTTATTAGTTCGACAAGCACTATAAAGAAATAATCGCGATAAGGCGAGTTTAGTCACATCCGGCGCAGCGCGATACCCATCCGAAGGGTAAACACGCCGTTCTCAATCTTCACCTTGTTGTTCGAAGGCGCGTGCGTGCTTGATGTATCGCGCCACGCAGGTCGACATGCGCAGCTCGATCGAGTCCATTACGGAATCTGATAATCACTCGCACGAACGAGAAGCCGCGCGATCGAGTCACCGGCTCTGAATCGGTCGGGGAAATTCAAGTGAAACAAGCACGGTAATCCTGCAGATTCGAGTCTAGTATGGTCTTCTCAATTGCGCCTGGCAAATTAGCTGTGCTGATTCAACCCGCGTTATTCCGTCGGTTGGCTCTAACGAATTTTGCGTAATAACAGTTCTTTTCGAATTATATTGTTGGCCGTCGCTCGCGCAATATGAACGCGAGGATACTTTACAGCCAAACCAGTTCGAAGTTGTATACATCCACACGCGCGCGCGCGCGCACACACACACACATATCGAACATACAGTTAGTATATCTGATCGAGCTCTACAAATATCATGCCAGTTATAATTTTTCTGGAAAAAAAGATGAGCTGGAAGCCTGAATAGGTTGTTGCTTGGCCATTGCGGATTGAGCGAGCCAGCTCGAGCAAGTGCAAGCGCAATCAGGGTTTACGTAACTGAGTCGAGAGCTGAGAAAAAAAAGTTGGCTTTACTTGAGCCAGATTACAGTGTTTACGCGAATTAGATTTTGCTTTGGGTAATTTTCAGCTAATAACGGTCGCCAATGCAGAGAGAGAGAGAGAGAGAGAGAGAGAGAGCACTTGTACGCGCCAGCCTACCTCTCTACCCGAGAATATAAGTAGCTTTAATCGTCATCTCGCATCTTTCTCCCTCTCACTCCTGGTGGAAATAGGCTCCCTTATGTTGGTTCCCTCAGCCTGGCTCGCCCCGGTTTCAGGCGCTGATTATGCCTACCGGCATTATAATCTCATTTCCGATAAATCGAGCCGATTAAAAACGTCCAGTTTAAGAGAGAGAAAGAGAGAGAGAGAGAGAGAGAGAGAGAGAGAGAGAGAGAGAGAGAGAGAGCGCGTCTGCTCAGACTACAGTGTTCCGTGCGAGCCTTCGCCAACTTTTAATAACGAGCTCACAATCTGCCCAATCAGTCCGGTTATCACAAGTACTAGGCGCCGAGTGACGTATGCGTCAGTCAGTTAGGTGCAAGCAGCACAAACGTGTCAGCTTAGCGCGAGGATGATCAAGAAAGGCTGCGGTGAAAGGCATAACACGCCGCAAATGTACACCTTTGGCGTAGTGTTATGTGCGAGTACTTATAACAGATGTATAGGTGTATAGGAGATCTGCTTATGCTGCTGCTACAGCTGGCTCGATAGCCAAAACTGAGCTCGTTCAACAAAAACAAAGCGGCAGTGAGCGAAGCGAGCATCTATAATACGGTCACGCTTGTTCTCCTTCTCTCTCTCTCTCATTCTCGGATTCTTCTTCCCGCCGATAGTCGTCAGTCAACCATCACGCCAGTCGGCCGCAACCTCTGCTTCACCAACTCATATACTATTATATCCAAGGTATCCGACCCGACCCGACCCAATCGTTTTTCCCATACTTTTTTGTCCTCTATTTCGATATTCCGTGTTTGGTTTATTTTGTGTGTCGTTCAATCGGTGCAGCGGCTCGAACCACTCAACAGTTTCTCATTGGTCACAGGCGTGAGCGACAATAATTATCCAGCCAGTCTGCTAAATTGGCAATCAACTCAATTACATCTTTTCGCAAACCAGTTTTTGCGAGGAAGTTGTTAAGATAATTGCTCTAATGCCGCGCGCCGATAGATTAAATATTAATATAGCCCGTGCTGGCGCGAGAGCGACATTTATATTAAAAAGGCCTGATATAACTCGCTTTAATCACGCGAGCTAGTTCAAAGAAACGCGTTGTATTGAGCGAGAAGCGACTTATTGCTACTTTGTTTTTCCTGCCGACAGTTGTGCCCCCCCCCTCACTAGCTCCCTCGCGCGCTCATGCAAACTCGCAGCAGACAGCCATGAATATACCAGCGCGGCGAGGCTCACTTAGAGCGGCACCCGCGATAAACGAATGCTGGACGCAACTCAATGCGATCCTGCACGTAACAGCGCTCTTTAATGTCCACGCTTTTCCGTTGTCTTTTTGCTCTTTTTTCCATCGCGCTCGTTGCCTCTTTTATGGAGTAATAAAGTGAAATTTTCGCTTGATTACGTTTTATGCGCGTATCACATTCTCAGCCAGCCATCTTGATTGCTTTTATTGTAGGAACGCAACTTTCAAGCGTGCAGTAACAGTGTTGTGTGTGTATGCGTGTGCCTCGAACCGCTCCTCCCTCTTCCGCTGCCAACTTAACTACGACGGTCCGAGCGCCAAAATAAGCTAATAAAACTTCTAATTATACAGCAGCAGCATTTGTGATAAAGCGGCGATTGCTTGGATGAACTACAATCAAATATATAGGCGCGATGTTGAAAGTGAAGGATATTTATATAGATATATACCGCGTGTTATTCTATGCGACTAGGAAAAGGAAGAGCATAGATTTCTTGTAAATCTCGCAGAAGCTAATTAGCTATAATTCGGTGATTAGTCTGGATTGCAGGCTTTCCTCGACCAGGTTTGATGTAACCGTGAGCGTGTGCGTGTTGTGCTAATTTATCACTTGAATTTCGTACAAGCTGAAGCATATAAAAATCTAAGTCCGTCGCGATGACTTGTCTTAACTCGTATCTATTCGTGTTTATATATTTGCCAATAATGACAAGTCTAGGGTATAAGTAGTCATCGACTATTTTGCGCTTATCGGCTCTTTGTAGTCTATAGCAGCTCGTCTATCGTCAGCTCTATCTGCGCGAGCTCTAATAATTATTATCGACTCAACGAATCGATGCCTATGACGCAGCTCTATCAATGTTGAATTACTCATCGCGTCGACAGCCGTCTGTGCTCTCGACGCTATCGTCGTTAAGTGAGCTAACATAATATGTCTATGTATATACAGGCGCTTGATCGAACTTGCAACGGCTACATTTACTCATTAATTCATCATTTGTTGCAGATAACACAGCGAGGCCAAGCCACGAGGTGGTTTCGCGGAGCAGCCCGGCAAGTAACGCAAGCAGTTCCGGTCAGCAGCCGATCACTAGTCACGTGGCAGCTCCCGTGCCTATACCTCAGCATCACCACCACCATCATCATCATCATCGCCATCAACGGCAGCAGCAGCAGCGGCGGCGGCAGCAACAGTTGCGATCAGCCGAAGCACAGCTGCAGCAACAGCAACCGTCGGCCGGCCCGGCGCAAATGGGTATCTCGACGGCGGACGAGGTGCGAGCAGAGGAGGAGGCCGCGCAGCCGCGGGCGGCCCCCACCAGCCCTGAAAGCGAGGCCGATGTCGACGACTTTGCACCCAAACGCAAACAGCGCAGATACCGCACCACCTTCACTAGCTTCCAGCTGGAGGAGCTCGAGAAAGCTTTCTCTAGAACCCACTACCCTGACGTTTTCACAAGGTACTAATATTTATAATCTAATGGCCTTTCTAGCGATTCTGCAACTGTGCTTGCTGTCGAAACTCTCTCTCTCTCTCTCTCTCTCTCTCTCTCTCTCTCTCTCTCTCTCTCTCTCTCTCTCTCTCTCTCGCTCTTTTTCACCACAATCATGTTTGGTGATCAGATCAGATATTACTAGCGCTATAATTATAAATAGTTGCCACATTAAAATTGTCGACTATGGTTCAGAACTTAGGTTAGACCTTCATCTTTATTTTTAGCTGGAATACTCGCATCTCGTATATTATTTTAGGTTATCGAAGATTATTTTTAAATCTTACGAAAGATTAAGATTTTGAGCTGATTTTCTTGCGTATACTTTCAAAAATCAACTAATAAATATACCGATATTTTTTCAATTTGATTATCAGTGTCTGGCGTATTCCGATTGCTCCGGTTATCTAAATCTTAAACTACAAAGGCTTTAAATCCATCTGGGTAGATTGAAATTCCGGTCATGTAAGGATGTAAAATTTGAGCGTTTTTTCAAACAATTACAATGACAAACAAAGTCTTGACAGTTAAAAACCTCTGGTACTTTCTTTCGATATTTTCAAAATTTGATACAGACATATACGAAGACACTAAATCGGTCCTTACTGCGGTTACTTTATCATTTGAATTAAAGTCTCCCTGTACATTACTTAGAACGCAATATTCGCGCACTTCCTTAAATAAAAATCTATTGTTGAGGACAAATAATGTTTATTTATTTCCGCTAGTTTGATCCAACATCGCCAACAACGATCTTGATAAATTCTCTCTTTTAGCTGGTCAGTCACAGTCAACGTATCCAGTCCTAAGTGTCCGTATAAGCGTCTCGCAACTCTCTTCTCGTGTAATTAACCGAGGCTGTGTGTGCCTTCACATATCTATTCTGCTACCTGAACCATCTACTCGCATCTGCTGTATCCGATACTATGTCGAGTTACGTATGTACTAATACAGCAGTAGCTGCGCATCTTGGAACCTGTTCGTATCGGTAAAAAGTGACGGAAGAGCCGCTTCTGTAGTTGATTTCGAATTACTTAATTGAATGTGCTGAGTTAAAGCGTGTATCGAGCGGCGGCAGCAACGGCGGATGGATGCCTCACACTCAAGTTTATTTGTAAGCCTCCTTGAGCTGATCTCGTCGCAAATTGGTCTGCGCCTCATTCCCCTAATGGGTAAGCGCTTAATGCGTAACGTGTAAGTGGCTTTTGTTGGGAAAGTTTACAGTGCAGTTGCAAATTCATGAGACTGCACACGCTAGTAAACTGTGGTGGAAGGAAACAAGAAAACACAGACATGTGGACAGGCGAGAAGCGCACATTGATGGCAGGACTAGCTAAAACGCGCGTATAGAGTTGCAGCGATGCGCGATAGCGTCTTCTGATTGCCTGCATAAATTGTCGAGCACCAAGCTGCATTGCATAAGAAAGACATTAGCGTCGATCGTCGAGCGAGGCTTAGCGCAACTGGTCGTTATGTGTATATAGCATACACTACTCGACTCTGCAGGCGATCCTCGGCTCATCGCTATTAATTTTGCGCTAATTGAATTTCACGCTCGCTTTACATTGCCCCTCCCTCACCCTCCAGCTTGTGCTCTCTACAGATTTCATTCGAACGTGCGCGCCGCTTCTCTATCATCATCGATCTTCTCCATCTCCCTCGCAGGCGTTGACAAAATTCAGTAAATTGAATATCAATTTGTACGCCGTTTTCTTTCTTCTTCTTTTATCGTGCGATCCTCGTGTCGCTTGCTTCTTCATTTGGATAATTAAATACCTGTAAACGCTTTGCAATCGAATTCCCTATGCTCAATTTGCATGTGAATTAGTTCTATAAAAAAGCAACACACACGAAAAAAAGATCAAGCATTAATGCTTGAAAGCTTTTCAAAACCATCCGCTCTTTGTCTTTGAAGCTCATAAAAAAGCGCTGTAATACTAGTTTTTGATTCTAGGCATTCTTATATCTATGAGCAACAGAAAGCGAATAGCGAAAGACTGGTATGTCTGGTGAAAAATGAGGATAGGCTGCTATAATGGAAGATTAGCCATTTGGCGCTGTTGCACTTTATCGTTGAATTTGGAGTTGCGATCCATTTGGAAGGAATATTCTATCGACATGTCAAATTTTATCTATGGGATGTGTGTATAGAACTGTTTTGGTAGGATTAGATTGACCGGCCGGTTCGAGCTGCTCGCTAGCGATCCGCATGGCGTCATCAGGTAAAGCAGCCGAGCTATTTTAATGCTATGAATATTTAATACTTTCCTCCATAATCGACTGGCATACTTGTCCTCATAAATAACGCTGTGCACAATCTTCGATATTAATGGAAGTGACTTATAAAGCGATACATTAATTAAAGGCGTAAACGCGCCGCCGCGCTGAACTCGGCGCGAAACCAAACAGAAGGACAAGCTCTCGAAAGAGCCACGATTGAGTTGAAACCATCGTCGACTTGGTTTACTATTCCATTTGATTATTTCGTATAGTTTTGATACAGCCATAATTGCAATAGTGTCACGACAAACGACTGGTTGTTGCAAACAAACTTGTGTATCATTGAACGATTACATGTACACCAGAGCCAGCTTTTATACCGATGCTCTTTCGTGAGCATATATTTTACGAGCCAGGTCCAAGACAGCCAACGCCGATAAAGAGCTTTCTTCAATCTATTAATGCAGAGCAATCAATAAGCTTGGCCTTTTTCACGATAACTTATCAGGGGCTTGTTAATACTGTATATTCGTCAACGGCTTCCAGGTAGGAACTTTAGAAGCTTCGATATGGATTTCGATTGAGCCTTTAATGGATTTACATTTGAAATTTGACATCTATAATATTTATTCTTTGTTTGTACGTGATTTCTCAAAATTATCGCTATTTCACCGAGGTCAATGCTGAAAACGTTCACGTTGGTCTCAAGTAAAAGCTACTTACGAAGCTATGATTTCTGCAAAAAAAACCCATTGCTGATTTACAGGAAACAGCCAAATCCGCCGTATCAGAGTTTATTTCTTGTATTTAATGTCTGTGGGGGATTTCTGAAAGAGATACATCGAGGGCATATAATGCAATCGCTGTAAAATGTCAGATTATCCAGTATTAACTATTTATCTTTAGGTGGGTGGACAAAAAAGGAAGAGCGTCGACTGACTTTTTAAAGAGAGAGAGAGAGAGAGAGAGAGAGAGAGAGAGAGAGAGAGAGAGAGAGAGAGAGAGAGAGAGAGAGACAGACAGACAGACAGAAAAAGAGAGAGGAAAGACAAGTGCGAAAAATAGTTGGATTCGACTGGAAGCCAACAATCTAATATTCGATCTTATCCTTGTTAACAGCTGTTGATGGCGGCGGCGCGCACGCGCTACACTTATCGGCGAGGATCAACAGGACTCTCGTTCGTTCGTTTAGAGGCCGGCGCCTTGTTTTTTCTTCTTCAGTGGCATCCACGCGAGCGAGTGAGCAGGCTGCTATACCGGGGCCTATACCCACGCACACGTCGCTCTCTCTTTCATATGCCTACGGCGTGTGGCGTCTCGCTATATAGATCGTAGTCATTGACTTTACGACCTGTTAAGATCTAATTTAGATAAAGTCCGCAGCGAGCAATCTTGCCGATTTCAAGTTTCCAAAGCGCCTTCCAAGGCAAGCCAATTGCCACCGTACACGGCACGTCCCGTAGATCCGATTTTTAACTATTCGACAAACGTTTTTTCCTTATTCATTTGCAACGATCGATGCTTACCACTTCACCTGCATTTTCTCCCTCGCTGCTCAACGATTAAACGATTAATCATTGCCTAGAGAGAACAGCAATGGAATTTATGTGACTGAAGGTCAGATAATCGCAGCCTAAATGTATGAGCAGGCTTCAATCCTTGCTAGTCTACAAAATACCTTTCCCCAAAAGTTTAACAACTACTCGGAGGAGCTCTCAATGAAGATTTGCGTATCGAAAACAAGCGAGTCGTATCGATTGTCGGATCACTGTTTCTAATCGAGCCAAGTGTAAATCTAACGGAAGCAGAGGTGTAGCCTACAGCTGAAGAACGGGAGAGAGTGTAAGGACTTCGCGCGTGAAGCATCGCGCTGTAAGATACAGTGCACGCGGCGCGAAAATCCAATTACACATTGGCCACGCTGCCATGTAGCAAGCTTGTCCGGCAACTTTTTGCGCTGACTTTTTACCGTGCTTTCTCGATCGGTGTCCAATGTAAATGACTAAAGTCTACAGTTGTTTCTTGTTGCCCCTCCACCACGCTACTGAGCTTATCGCCGGACCATAGTTAGAACCGTTGGCCCGGCTATCCCTTTCGACTACCACAGTTCCGACGGACCGTTGTTTTTCGGCGATGCGCACATTGCACTTCTGCTTTACTTAACGTTGCCAAATGTGTTTTTACGTAGTCGGCGAGTGCTGCTTTGTCTGAGGCTGCAACGCCGCACGCAGAGCCAATAATCAAGCAAATGATTTCGTAAATTTAATCAAAGCGATCGTTGCCGTGGAAAAACTTAACGAGCTCTTTCGCAACGTCCGCTATATCATTTATACTCGAGTTGCACACAATGTTTATGAGAGCGCATAATGATGCGAGTCGATGCCGAGACTGGATTTGTCGAAGCAATAGAATGAAAAAAACGTTCGATAGAAAATCTTGGATTAGTCGCGGATAATTGTCGTAGCTAAGACGGAATACGCGCTACGTTTTATGGCTCGACGTAAGTATAAACAATTAGACGTGTAACCATTGCCAGATCAATCTACCGAAGGCGGTTCGAGGAAGAATGAGCATGTGCAGCTGACAGTGTGGTACGCCAACGGTAGGCGCGAATGCATTAGCTCGACGATTGCGCGCGGTATAATAGTTGGCCAGCGAGAAGCACTGCGGAACTTCAAAAATGCTGCTGTAATGATCGAGAGAAGAGCTCGCGTGGCAGAGCGGAGCGCTACGCGAGTGACAATGCGAGAAAGGAGGATTAGCAAAGCAACGGTAATTGATATTAGATTGTGCTTGCATCGAGAACGGCCTCGCGCTCGCGCTTAATAAGATAATGAAATTGTGCAGTAATTGCGCTCGGCACTCACTCTCGTGCTCCCTTCAGTTCGCTCGTGATACGCACGCGCACCTAACCCTCGGCAGTTTAGCCACACGTTCGTGTGGTAGCGACTGAACGCTGCCATTTGTTGCGCTTTATTCCGCCATAACGCGGTGTGGGGACGATTCAGCGAGCTCGACGGATGATCGCCACATGCCATTAGCCGACGACAGAGCACTCGACAAGCGTTCGGCTTGGCCAAGCGCCCAGGCGAACTGTAGCCGCTCTCGGTAAGAAATAGAACCGACTGCCAATTGTCTGTTGTCATTGTGGCGCTTAATTGAGCCTCGCTATCCATCGCCGTCCTCCTCGGCAGCGTCGGTACGCTCCTGCTCGTTCTCAGAATCACCACCGCCGACGCTTGCTTCTGCCTTTGTTGGTTCGTAGGCTGACTATGCATTGGATTTCCGCCGAAATCCAACCATACGTGCGTTCGGCGCACTTCCTCCAAACTATCGAGAGGTTGTGCTCGAACATTTGGAGGCACACGTGACCGTCGTAGTTGGAGAAGCTGCACTGACCCAAGCGACTACTATTCACACTTGACACCGTCGACAATGTCGCGTAGTTGGCGAACCATCTTCGTACGGCCAAGGCGCAGTTGATCGTAGGAATTAGAGCGGATGAGCGAAACGCTGCCGAGAACGAGTGGCCTTAACGAGCTGCTTCTTGTTCGCTGCTCGCCCGCTCGAGCGAGCTCCCGGTAAGCAAGAAGCCCGGCGAACGTCGCTCGCCACTGAGGAGGAGGAAGCCGAGTCAAGAGCGAATGGCGCACGGCGGCCTGAGTAATTAGGGATCTGGCGCACGGCTTAACCGCGACATTTCGTGATGTTATTCGAGCAAGGCGCGTTGCCCACACCTGTACGCCGTGGATCTGCAGATCATTTGCAGCGCGAGTAGGCACTTGCTCGCGGATGACGGATCGGCCGAGAACGTAGCCGTACTAGCCTACACCAACTACAGACACCAGCAAAGCAAATACGTATCGCTCTACCAGCTTCCTTGACGTATCTCGTTCGAGAGCCTGATTGATGTTTTCGAGCCGCCGAACCCGCCAAGCCGAATAATCCAACGCTCAGCTGCCTCGTTATAAATCAATAATCATTCATCTCTCGCTGAGTTCACTTCTCCTCAGCAGCTCTATTCTAATTGATATTTCATTGCTTTTTAATCGCCCATTTCAGTGACGGTGGTCCTTCTTTATGCCTGGTTGACGAGGTCGCATCACGCAGTGATGATGTGAGATAAGTGATAAGACAAGAGGTTGCGAGGAAGCTGGCAAAGTTCGCGAGGAGTACAAGTGTGTGGGCGGAGGGAGGGGGGAGGCTGGCGTAAATAAACACGTAATTGATGAAGAAGGCCGAGTAGAGCGAGGCCGAGCGAGCGAGCGAGCGAGCGAGCGAGAAAGGCAGGGGAGCCAGGAGTATAGCCGAGATTCTTTGAGCAAAACTGGTAGTGGCTTGTAATTTTTGGTATTTCGGAGGGCAGCAGAGCGAAGTAAAAGGTAGAAGACAGAGAAGGGAGCGGCGTAGAATCGTACCACGAAAGACCGGCAGTTAAGGTTTTAATAAATTCAAGAGAACGGCTTCTGCGTACGCAGTAATCACTAAGATTGCCGGTACAATTCGACGAACATCTTGAGCAATTTGTCTAGAAAATAAGCAAGTTTGCATCGCGGGCCTCCTTATAGCCTTGGCCTCCTCGAGCAGCCTCCAGGCATGACAATTTCGATTCACAACTTGTGTCCTTAATGAACCTCCATCCACAAATCGTAGAAACTCGGCGCAGCATTTCTTCGCGCAGCAATCTCCCGAGCTAAGCGCGTACTGATTCCGCCGCGCGTTTTACTCCAATTGACCACATTACGTACAGCCGCACAGATAATATTTGCTCGAGCTAATTGCGCCCTTTGCTTTTTCTGTTGCAGAGAGGAGCTCGCCATGAAGATTGGTCTGACAGAAGCCCGCATACAGGTTTGTCCATTTCACATATCATTGAGCATCGTGTCCGGCCGCACGCGAATTCGAGAAAGCATACAGTTGCCAGGTGCCTGCCTGTCCGGCAACCTGACCGCTCAATGGCCATTTTAATTTAAATTTGCATATTAGGCACTTTGGGCATATTGACCTTAAGACAATTGACATTAAGGTAATGAGTAGCCTCTGACGTGGGTTTGCGTGTCGGTTGGAGCTGCAGCGCAAGACAGACAGCAAACTAGCAGCCAGCGAGTGAGATATGTATGTCTAGATGCCTTACTCCTGAGCTATAATGGCCAAGTCGAGCGTGCCTGGTCACGCGCTGGCAGTGCGGGTGAGGGCGCGAAATTGGCCATCTCGCATTCGTGTGTTCGCTGTCCAGAAAATACAACAAAGTGTACTGGCAATAAGCGAAGGGAACGTGCGGCCGATCCGTGCTCGGAACATTGATTGCTTACGCGAACAGCCAGCTAATTTGCTCAATTAGCTTAATTTATTCTGGGTATTTACTCGGCCTCTTTTTGCCCTTTCTGCATATTTGTTCGCGCGTGTGTATACAACTTCTTCCTCTTGGCCGCCTACTCACCTGCTCTCTTCGCGCATGTCTGTGTGCGCGCGTGCGTATTGGCATCACGACGTCCCGTGGCGATGCCCAGGCGTTTCATTATACTTGCAAAGCGTTGAAGAAGCACGCAATTTTTGGCCACACGGCTTTCAGCTGTTTTCATTCAATTATCACTCGCATACCTGAATGCCACACGTCACGCCTCTCAAAATTAAGATTTCCTCGAGATCCCTGTTCTCGCTCATTGACGTGCATACTTATAGCCATTTTTTATGGCTTGCGCCGCTATTTTATTGAATAACGATCAACTGTTAGTCAGTCAACGATACACAACCAAACACACACACACACACACACACACACACACGCGCGCGCGCGCACATACATACACTTCTCGTCGACCGTTTATCTAAATTATTTTGACAGGCCACTAGTGTGCGCCCAGAATTTCTGCCGAGCGAGCCTCGTAAATTCAGCAGCGCGCTATTCTTCGCCAATTTCACCAATACTGAATGCGTGAATGAAAGACGACAGCTCTTCTTAATACTTTCTATCTCTTTTTCTGCGTGCGCTGGATTATTAAATTTGGTCGAGCTTTTGAATTGGTAGATCTGAATAAACAAACATTCGCGTTGATATAGCAGCCTGCAGCGGATAAGAGCTCATTATTTTGAGAGCACAAACAAGCCAGAATGCTTTGTGGTGATCCGCTCTCTCTCTCTCTCTCTCTCGCACCGCTGAATAAAAGCGACATCATTCAGACTTGCGCCACTTGTTCTTCCCCCTCCTTCTGTTCTTCTTCGTCTTCTTCTTCTTCTTCTTCTTCTTCACTTTACCTTCTTTTTATTTTCTCGAGCGTAATTTTACGGTTTCTTCAGAACTGAGTAACGACGCGATTCCTCGCGGTTTCACGCCATCCTTCCACAAATGAGTACTTTTTTCCCTTTTTACGAGATAATCATCGTGAAACTTCAATTACAATGTCGCCTTGCGCGCATTCAATCTCGAGAGTCGGGAGACCCTACTAGGCAAAACAAAGCGAACACGATCCTAACTGCGGACTAAAAGTCAAAGGGGACTGTCTAACTTGCCGGAAGCTCGTGCGGACAAGCAGTTAAGCGGTGGTCGCCGCTTTCTGTCAGGTCACTCGTGACGAACGTCGCGTACATCAAGGTTACACTTCTGCCAAAGGAGAGGAAGGTTGGAGGTTCGAAGTGGCTGCTTGAGATCGGAAATCGAGCGGATAAGTTTGCGCGAAAAGATGGCCGCTCGGCTCATTAGCCGCTCTCTGACGAGCCGAGTAATTGGCTGCTTTCGATGTTGTTCGGCCGTAGCGAGAGCGCGAGAGCAATAGCGAGCGCGCCGCGAGCTGAGGCAGCCGACCCCCCAGAGCGAACAGGATTGCCCCCAGCAGGGCGCTAAACATCCTGCAGCTGGTCTGCTCGTCTGTCCGCCTGCCTGTCCGCTCGCGGCACGTTTTATATGCTTGTATACACACAGCGCCAAGTATAATAAGGTACCAACACGCCGCGACCTAACCGATCCGCGTGCGCCAGCGCGCGAGCTTAATCGGGCCGCATTAATTAGCCGGGCGCCGGTCGACGTTCCCGCTCCATTATCCATTCCATTTGTTCCTAGCAGCTAGCCGCTCGTTCTCAATCTCGCACGGCTGCCTGGTTGTTCTTACACCTGATCAACCGGCCAGAAAGCCAAGCTCCGTTCTCTCGCCCGTCTTGATTATTATTACTTTTCGAACGAGTATCGATCGCGGCGAATCTTCCTTGCGCTGCAGTACGTTGCCGTGCTCAACAGCACTAGATACTCGCCGTCAGTCATTAAAATGCAGTCAACCAATAACTATATTTCCATCGCAATCCGAGCGAGCGAGCATTCATTAAGGACACTGCCGACGCTAGAGTAAGTAGTCAATATATCTACGATATCTCAACACAGACACTCGATATACTGCACTCTATCTCGCGGCTTGTCGCATCTTCGTTATTATTTCACGATAACGCGCTCCCGTGCTTCAAGCTCAATGCTTCGTGCTCTTCAAACGTCCAACGGAACGCTGAGTGAAGTTTAACGATAAGTGTCACTTTCCATCGTGTTTTATGCGATATAGTTTGACAAGAAATTAAGCCCATGTAAGAAGCGTCAATTCTTATTAAATTTTTATTATTATTACATTCACCCGGTACTGTTTGTTCAAATGATCAAACTGACCATTTGCGACCAAGCCTCTGCATTTTCGGTTATTGCATTGCGACTGCTCGTGAATAATTGAAAAGAAAACGTTGCCTTTTTAGTGCGCTCTTTTTATAGGAAACAAAGCAATTAATATTTCGCACACATTATTAGTGCATGGGAGATAAAGGAAAGAAAGAGAGAATGAGGAAAGCAAAGAATCGTTATACATGGCGAATAATGGGAGCTACCGTGGCCGTGTAGCGAGAGCGCTTTCGGCAAGAAAGTCGAGTCATCGATGATTGTTGAACTGGCGCAGCGAGCCGTGATGAAGCTATATAGCAGAGTATATGAGCGGCGCTCCTTTGATTGCAACTTTTCAGCGGCTACAGCTGGTCAAGAGTGAAATTCAAGGGCGTGTTTCTATATACCGCTGTCTCTCTCTCTGCCTTTTGTTCAGCGACTTCCGATTAGACACCTGTATAATATGCCGAGCTATAATATACGCGGCGTTGCTCTAGAGCTCGGTAAATACGCTGATCGACCTACCTACGCCCTCTGAGATCTCTGTTTAGATTGATGCGCGTTCTATCTTATCGTACTCTATTGCGCGCGAGGTTCAGTGACTGCGGCGGAGCTTTGAGTGCGATGAATCGGCCGAATGACGTCAGCTGTCTTGCCTCCTCAGTGCTCGTGCACCGCGGCCACGTAATTCGTTCAGCAAACAGCAGCGCACTGTTGGCTCTCTTCTATACGGTCGTTCGGCTAAGCGCTCTCTTGTCGGTCTGTTGCTTGAGTCGTCGTCGATGTATGACCAGCTAATTGGTGGATCGGAAGCGGCGCGCCGATCGACCTAATAATAGTTATCATTCAACGCGCGACTATACTATAGCAGTGGTTAGCTGCTCTATGCGTCCGATATTTTAGCTACGTGCACTTCAATACTCGGCAAATCGACCTAAACACTAGCTCGCATATAGTTGGCCGTCCTCGACCTACGCCATACGTGCAGCGCCGAGTTAGCGGCGCCATAAGAGCTTAGCGCCTTCCGTCAATTTTCCACTCTGCAGACGCATTACGAGGGCTCGATTGCCGAGCATCGCTTTCCGCTGTCAGCCACGTCACCGCGTCCGGAAAAATGTAAAGCCGAGCGAGCGAGGCGAAAGCCGCGATGAGCGCGACTTCCGCGGCAGCGGCGCTTCGCTCGGCGAGATAATGATACGCCGCGCGCCTCGGCGGTGCTCCAGAAAAAAGGGTGAGCATGCGTCACCTTCAGCGGAACTTGCTCGGCCGCGGGATTCCGCGTACCGACGACGAGTCCTCGCAGTTACGCGGCCACTTGTGTGACGCGATTGTGTGTGGTTGCAGGTGTGGTTCCAGAACCGGCGGGCCAAGTGGCGCAAACAGGAGAAGGTGGGCCCGCAGGGTCATCCTTACAACCCGTACCTCGGCGTGGGCGTGGGTGCGCCGGTGGGCGCCGGAGTGGCCTCAGCCTCGGTGGTGGCGCCCGCGCTGCCCAGCCCGTTCGCCCACCTGGCGAGCTTCCCGCTGCGAAAGCCCTTCGAGGCGTTTCGCTACCCGGGCGCCTTGTCACCGGCAGCCCACCTGCCGGCCCACCTGCCCGCGCCTGCGGGCTACGCGCCACCGCCTCACCTGCCGGCCTATCATCACCACCGTGCTCCGCCGGGCCTGCTGCCCGCAGGCGTGCCGCTGCCCTACGGGCCCGCGGCTTCCTTCCAGAGCCTACTAGCCAACATCAGCGCCCAGGCCCAACAGCACCAGCAACAGCAGCAGCAGCAGCTCCAACAGCAGCAGCAGCAGCAGCAGCAGCAGCAGTTGCAGCGCCAGTCGCCGGTCGCCGGTCCTGCGAGGCCCAAGCTCGAGCGTAGCCCGCCTCCACCCGCGGTCTCACCGGCCGCCCGACAGGGGCCCTCGTCCCCGGGCGCGCCCTCGCCCCCGGTTCCGGCGCCGACCGCATTGGCACAGCCTCTCGACATGGACCGACGCACCAACAGCATCGCCTCTCTCAGGCTCAAGGCGCGCGAGTACGAGCTCCACCTGGAGATGCTGCGCAAGAGCGGCGACCTCATCAGCTGAATCGCCGGTCCTGCGCGCTCGCTTTGCCCCGCCCCCGTTCCGCCCGCTGCCACGCCCTACTCCTACTCCACCGGCGCGCCGCTCGGCAACCGCGCTCCCGTGTAGTGGCCAGCAGTATCTGCGTTCAAGCACTCGAGCCGGCCTGCGGCTAGCGCGCTCGCTCGTTCAGGGACGACTTGTTTCGCGGTCTGCCTTCGTGTCTCGCGGGCCCACCCGTTCGCGCGGCGTCAGCTGCCTCCGCCTCGTCTGCGCGCGTTGTTTCATCAATCGTCCCATTTGTCACGGACAAATCGCGCGCATTCATCGAGTGCTGGCGCAGGCTGAGGCAGAGGGAGAACAGGTGTCTTCACTTCAGCCGTCCTTTGCTACAGTTCTGCTCGTCATTTTGTAGCGGAGGATAATGCAAGCGATCAACGTTGCCCTCCACCGTACAAAGCGTGTCATGCAGTTAACGCGCATACTCTTCGTAGTCTATTCTATATCTTCGACTGTCCCGTCGGAAAATCATTAAACGCTTGTGCAATACTGTTGTTTAGAAGCAAAATGCTTATCGTCTCTCGATATCACGTAAAAATATCCATAAGAGCTGATTATGTGCAGATCGACGTGTGTTTTATTTCATTGTGGCAATGAATGTAACGCTCACCCTGCGTAACCTGTTAGTTCGCGCTTGCAAATAATTACAATGAACAGACTTCGTTCATTGCTAATGTAAAAAAGATTATTAGCAATTTCATTTCATGCGCGTTGCACATCGAGTGTACTCATGGGTGATTCTTTTTTCGAATTTTGACGGTGCTGTCAAATTTAAACGAATATTACATATATCAAATGAATTATCTATGAACTACGATATGTGCCTTTTCGTGTGTAGTTTTAAGGATATTATTTTATATATATACGGACATGCGATTGCTCAACAATTATCATATCAAACGGTTCTCCGAAGGAACCGGTACTTTCAAATGTACTTATGCATTCAAAAGAAAGTACAAATTAATAACATTTGAACAATTACAAAGTATGTAAGCATCGTGAAGCGCGTAATCGCGGATGAGCGACCTGTGATTTACATAAGTGACCCTTATAATGTACTACGGTCCGTCCATTCGATTGCGATAATCCATCTTTATGCTTATATTTTATAAAAAAATCACTAAAAATATTTTTAGCTTGGCATTGGAAAAAAAGTGATAGATTGTAATTAAAATTTTGAAGTTGAATATGCTCATTATTCATTGATTTGCAATCATTAAGATTTATAATATTTTTTATTTAAATTAAAAAAATTGGTTATACGTCTCATGTGCAAAATTACATTGTTAACATAATAATCGCTACGTTCTCGGCGTAAAAGAAATCCTTTTTTTCTCCATCTATAGTCGGGTTCCAAATTCTAGCTAAATTATTTTCAATTTGTAATAGTAACATGTCATTGTGAATATTTGATGAGAACATGATTTGGTAAGATGAAGTCGAAGTCGTGATTCTTATTTCTAGCTGGATTTTTAAATGAAGCCGAAAAAAGAGAAAACGAGTTTACTTAATTAATATAAAATATCCTACATAGGGATAGTAATAATATTGTGTATGAACATAAAAGAAAATGTATTTATGCCAAGAATGTATTATGAAGATATAATGTAGTATTGTATTATTGCTATACGATTAAATTTTTTATTTAAGATTACGAAAAATGTATGTATATAGGCCGTTTTACATACATATATCTAATGGTAGCTAATGCTATAATTATTATATTTTTTATCAAGAATCTTTTTTATTTAAAGTTTCGGTATATGTATAAGATTATAAAAAGCATCTGCATCAACATTGTAGACACGGTAATGTTTAGGAAAAGTAATTCTTCTATCTCTGCACTTATTATAAGCTATGTAGTCTTTTCTATCCATTTCCACATTCATAATTTTAATTTAGTTAAATAAAAAGATATAAAATTATTTCTTCATACTTTTTGTACATATTTAAATTAAATCACATAAGGTAATTATGGTAATTGACTGATATCAAAATATAAATTGCTCCAATATATGATTCTATCTGGCCGATACTATAGTCTAGTGATATTCACGAAAATGAATTTTGCTTATAGAAATGAATAAATGTATATCATGAAATAAATTTTGTTGTATTAATTATTACTAAATATATATATATATATATATATATATATATATATATATATATATATATATATATATATATATATATATCGGAAATCCCTCTCACACACTTTTCAAAAAAGATAAAACTGTCATGCGAGTTGGATTCAGAGACTGTTTACAAATCAATTTTAAGAACATATGATCAACAGCAAGCAAGCGCATAATACATATAGTATAACGGTTCTAAACTATTTTCGCGATTTAGATTCGCACGCAATATTGTAGTTTCGCAAAAATAGACACAATCTTACTAATCGTGCATTAGTAAATTTATACGCAGTAAGAAATTTAAGCGCTTCGTGATTTCAGACACGACCAGGCAACTGCTAAAAATTCCTTTTCGGTAGTAAAATAATTACGAAATTAAGTTCTGAGCCTTTTAAAGTTCTCGAAATAAAAATTATAACTTCTTCATTGTCTTCGTTATTTAATTAAGACAAAGCCGAGGCTATCGTGTGATAACTTACATCAATAGTTACTATATGACGTTTACTTGGATCAGTAAATCTTTTGTTCTCGCTGGCGTAATAATATGACCTAAAAATTCAATTTCATCTTGGATTAGGTAAATTACGTATATTATTTAGGCTTCAGCCAAATGATAAATATGAATTTGCAGGTTGTACATATAGAAATGATCGGACTGCTTCCATTGGTGGCGTAATACTCCTCATAAGAAAATCGATATTTTATGTCGAAGTTAAGAACATATTAAATATAAATAACTAAGCCCAACTATGTGGAGTTGAAATTACAAATTTAGTTAAATCAATAACTTTCATTATTTGTTACAGACTACCTGATATAAAGTTTACTGATAATGAATGGGATACTATCATAAGTAATACTATACCCTTCATGAAAGACGTAGACTAATGGGGGATTTCAAGACGCATAATAAATACTGCTTGTATTTACATAACACTAATTCTTTTGCACGAATTGACAGCCAGAGAAATAAAAAAACGAATATTGATTTAATTGTTTTCACGATATCTATAGATCAATATTTAAAAGTCAATGTTGAAGATGATACACCCAGTTCAGATCATTATCTAATAATTGTTGATGTAAATGTAGAAAAAGAATATTATCGGAAACAATCTTTTAAAATACAGTCCAAGCGAACAGACTGTGGCAAAGTTACTGCCATGCTAAATCCAGAGTACAATGAATTTCTTACGAAAGAATTGGACGAATCAGACCCTCTTAAAAAATACGAATTTTTGTCAACACAATTATCAAAGTTATAACAAAATGCACGCCTAGGAAAAAAGATTCCATAATGAAAAACACAGAAATCCAGCCCCATGGAGGGACATGGATTATGATAAAATAAAAAATGGGAGTATTTTAATAATATAGCAGACCTATTAGAATATAAAAGAACTAGAGTTAAAAAAAACCTTTAAGCTTAAAAAAAGGAAATGTTATCGAAATTTTACAGAGACTTTAAAATTTAATTAAATTTGAAATACACTTGGAATAAAGCTAAATTACTTAAAAATAAATGGATCAAAGTAAATCCGATTAGTAGTGAAAAATTTGTAAATAAACGTAAGAAAATTGATGAATAGCTCAGAAAGCTATGTGCTGATTGAGTCCCCTCCGATTTGAACGAACTGCCTTACTCGACACGGAGTTTAATGTTGCCCTGAACTCGCGCGGGAATAAATCTGCTCCCGGTAAAGATGGTATCAATTATAAGATCCTCCATAATTTACCAATTGAATACAATTTATTATTAAACGATATATGTAATGAATTATATAAGAAAGACGTTTATCTCAACAACTGGAAAGATACGTATGTATATTTTGTCGAAAAATTAAATGGGAAGAGTTTAGGAACGTACTAGCCTTAACGAATTGTCTCTGTTAAATGTTCGAGTTAATGATATCTAATTGATTGTGATGGTGGCTTGAAAGTAACAAATTATTTTAACACAGGCAAACAGATTTTTGAAAAGGTTTGTCATGTGCAGACAACATAACCACATTTTAATTAGACTGTTACGTCTTGCGACGTATTTTTGACAAAAGTTTTATTTGAAACATTTCACATACAATTCTGAAATTCAAGCTCTTAAAAGAGACTAAAATTACGCGAGAGTTTGCAAGAACCATCAGACTTGCATAAAATCTATGTTACGAATAAACACTTTTCGGAATAACATGGCGATGTATCAAGTAATTGCTACTTCAATGTAATACTGATCCCAAATATAGAAGATGAATGATGTAATAAAGACGATATAAAAAGCCTTGCATACGCTTTCGCAGACAGATCAGAATTAGAGCTCCGTGCACTCACTCGTTCGTTAATTCAATGATTTACATTTTATTTGTCTTGTTAACTTCTGCTGTAAACGTGCTTAAACATTTGTTATTTTGCAATAAATATTAATCAGTGGTTATAAAGTGAGATTTGTTTATTCTAATATCACCTGACCTGATTGGTAGACATATTCGATAAACGATCTTCAAGTTATAGTAATAAATAGTTACCTATCACATTTATTTAATCTACCTGCATTTCAATCAATCAGGATTTATTCAATGACAATATTCAAGAAATGAAGTGAACCTTACCCCATTAGATTCATACTGGTACGCGTTGATTATTATTAAGTTAATAGCAACTCGTAACAAGACATTGAAAATGCATTTATAGCAATAAAGAAATATTGGCAGTTTTCCTTGATGTTAACAATGCGTTTAATAATGTACAATCGAAAATATTGCTATCCAAATTAGCTAATTGTGGCTGCTCAAAAAAAAAAATACTGTAATTTGTAAAATTTTTAACATACTAGAAATTAATATATACTTAAATCAATGAAAATGGGCCTAGACACATTTTAAAGGAGATGTCCAACGGGGGGTGTTAAGTCCCTTGCTTTATATCTTTTATGTGGCCTCGATAGTCAACGGTTTGGATGATATAATAAAAATTTAAAAATTTACGAATGGTATTGTAATCTACATGTCAATTGACGTTCTCGATAACGATCAACAAACACTTGAAAATGCTACTGATCAGATCATAATAAAACTAGGTGACATTGGTTTGAATGCCACACCTGAAAAGACGAACTTTTTAAATTTTTAACTAAAATTACTATTAATTCTGAAAAGTTGCAACTGTTGATATAGTAAAATTGCTAGACATACAGTTTAATTATGAGTTTATATTTAACAAACATGAACTATGTTATTGAAAAAACCAACTGAGCTTTAAATGTTGTTAAATTTTTAAGAGGCATTAAGTGGGGTACAAATCCTTACACACTAATCACATTCTACAAAAACTATGTTAGATCTATCATAAATTGCGAATGTTTCATTTACTACCCTACACAAAAGTCCCAACAAGAAAAATAAGCAAAAATATAATATGCAGTTATACGAATATTAGGACTAAGAACGAGTACTCCCACAAACATATTACTCGATGAAACCAAATTAATCACTATACAACATAGGACAGTAATACTATGTAAAAGTTTTCTGTTAAAAATTTTTAGTAATGTACAGCCTATTGATCTTACTACTTTCAAAAAACATACCCCCATTATCATTACTAACAAAAAGAGACGAATTAATATATTAAGAGTGCATCAAAAGTATTGTTGGTATAAAAAATATCATACATAAGGATGACTTATCATTACAGCATAATTATCCGTATTCAATAATTATAACTCCTATAAATATCGCTTGTAAAATAGGTCGAAAATTACACGAGAGTGTTAACACACAGGTATTATTTAATGAAATTTTCTAAAACGATTAATCAATTAGAATTTTTACAGATGAAAGTAAGAGTAATAGATCTCATTCAATTAGAATCCCATTCATTGGAATCTGCAGTTGAATATGCTTAAAACGCGAAGTATAATTAATAAAGCATCCATTTACAGCTGAGCGTATGGCAGTCTCTGATGCTATGGATGGAGCTTTAAAAGACAAGAATTTAAACATAAAGATATTTACTGATTCACTAAGTATCATTCATGCACTAAATAATCCAAAAATAAACGCTAATATTAATTATCACGTATTGGATATAAGAAAAAAAATTGTTGAATTTATTATTAACAATTACACATCGACTATTACAATCTGTTGGATACTTCATCTAGAGATATTGTAGGAAACGAAATTATTGATGAGCAGGCTAGGTTTGCAACAATATTACAACCAAACAACTTGAAAATGCCAGTTTTTAAGCCTCTTTTTAAAAACTTGCAATAAACGACATCAAAAAATTATTAAAAAATCAGGCTCAAACTAAAGATATCGCCTATTTTTAATAATATTGCAAAACTACTAACTCACCGTGGTATAAAAATGCATAGCTTCTTCGTGATTTTATTGTAATAATTAATCGTTGTCGTAGTGATATATTAGTCTAAATGAATCTTTAGTGTAAATAAAAGTAATAAATAATGCTGTTTGCGAATGTGGGCATGAAAATCAAGATCTGAATGATGTGCTATGGCAGTGTCCATTATTTGATAGACAAAGAAATGTAATGTTCAAGTCACTTGTCACAATAAAAATATATCCACCTTATGATATTAAAAGTTACCTGAGCAAACCAAATATTGTTATTGTTATTGTAACTTCAAGAAACATGTCCATGTGGAACGCAGCAGAGATAAACTAAGTACCTGCATGCATTAGTCTTGGTTCCCTACAGTCATGAATATGCAGAATCACCTCCCCGACCATTTTTTTTTAATGGTGTAGAAGGATAGTTTTACACGTATCATGACTGGACCTGCAGTTTAAGATGGAATCCGAACCACCGGATAAATAATATA